CTCCCCAGACCCCACTTGTGGGATTATACTGGGTCGTTGTTGTTGTTGTTGTTGTTGTTGCATATGACCTAAAAAGTTACTTTGTGCAGGTAAATGCTCAAACAGAAGAAGATATCTGTCCTCTGGTATCAGCTGTAGCAGCCAATTCATTGCCTTGCGTGGAACTGTTAGTAAAGGTCAATAAAATTATATTTTCTCTGTTTCGCTATATGTACTTTAAATTGCTGAATCCCCAATTGAGCATCCTCAAGAAGCTGTGTTGCAGAAAACATGTGGTGCTGTTGTTTGATGCATAACATTCTGCTCTTTGCTATGTGTTGGAACCATGCAAATTTTGTGTTAGATCAAACCACAAGAAACTGCTTTGATCATACAAGAGCTAAACATATATGCTGCTATATTAAAGGACAGCCTGGTGCACTAAGCTCTCGCTATGCGCGGGTCCAGGGAAGGGCCAGACCACAAGGGTCCATCGTACGTAGGCTTACCCTGCATTTTTGCAAGAGACTATTTCCACGGCTCGAACCCGTGCCTCCTGGTCATACATGCTGCTATATTATCTTTTTAAATATTTTTTGAATAAATTGAAGGTTAAACATGCTTAAAAAGACAAAACAAGGCCTATAGAGATAACCGTAAAATGAAGAGTAAAAGTTGTGTTTTGACATGAAACACAACCGATTTTACTTGAGAACTCCTAAAACCTATTTTCAAACTTCAAATTCTAGATTTCAAGTTTGGAGTTTAAATAATGGGCCAATTTGATAAACAAACAATTATTTGAAACAATCTCCAAATACTGTTTTTGATATTTGGTCCAAAATCTACGGACAAACGGGTCCAAACCGCTAAAGATAAAAGGAAAAAATACTCCTTATTTCCCTCTTTGTTCTTTATTGGGTCAAAAACTTCAATCATGTAGAATCAAATTATTACCTGCATTGAATGAAGAAGGGTAGAGCCGTAGAGAAATGGGCGTTGTCCATCAAGTTTCTAACCTTGTGCCACTGCTCCTCAGGGATTTTTTTTTTGAGAAGGTAACATTTGTTGCATATATAGTAATTGTATCAAAACAGGTATGGTTAACCATAATTACAAGGGGTGGTATAGGAAGATTCTTAAGTCCTTACAAGGATCCTAAAACATCAACAAAAGATTCTGGATCTTCCATGTACTCTTGCTTACACCAAAAATAAAAAAGAGCTAAACAATGCATTTTCATCCTCTGGATTGTACTATGTCTATCTTCAAAACATCTTTGGTTTCTCTCTTTCCAAACAGTCCGCCAAATGCAAGCTGGGACAATCTTCCATCTCTCTTTCTGATTAGGGGAGCTACCGAGTCTGTTCCAACATTCTAGAAGTTCGATAATGCTTCTTGGCATTACTCACATGATTCCTTTCAAGTTAATGAAAATCCTCCAAATTTGTTCTGTTATCTTGCAATGCAAAAAAAGATGGTTGAAAAAAAGATGGTTGATTGTCTCTGCCTCTTCTCCACATAAGTAGCATCTGGAGCATAGGTGGAAGCCCCTCTTGATAAGATTATCCTGAGTTAAGATTGCTTTTCTGGCTAGCAACCACGTGAAGCAAGCAACTTTGTATGGAATTTTGACTTTCCAAATTAGTTTCCAAGGCCAACTTCCAATCTGATTATTAGAGGTGTTGTATTCCTTATAGGCAGACTTGACTGAGAATTTACCTTGCTTATCCCTTTGCCAGAACATACAATCTTCAGGAGTGGATGTTCCTTTGAGTTGATCCAAGGTGTTGTAGAATTCTGTTAGCCTGACGATCTCCCAGTCATTGAATAATCTTCTATAGCTAAGGTTCCATCCGTGGTTTGACCATACATCTCCCACGGTTGCTTTTTGCTACTGGTTCAGACATCTTTGGAAAGTCTGTTTCAAAGGACATTGGCCTAGCCATGTGTCATCCTAGAAAGAGGTTTTCATTCCATTGCCCACCTTGAATCTGGATTTGTTTCTGAACTTTGGCCACAAGTTCCTGATTGATCTCCATAGACTGACACCATAAGGACTGGTTGTAGAGTTGGTAGTCCAATTGCTTTCCATTCCATACTTCACTCTAATGACATCTTTCCACAGTGAGTGCTCACTTGAAGCAAATCTCTAGAGCCATTTCATCATTAAGCTGTGGTTCTGAATTCTTAGATTCCTAATGCCCAGCCCCCTTCCTTCTTGCTGGTTACAAGTGAGTCTCAATTGACCAGGTGAATTTTGCCTTTGTCACTGTTGCCTTGCTAAAGAAAGTTCTTTCTTAATGCATCTATTGTTTTGACTATATTTGCCGAGATAGGAAATGGAGACATCATGTAAGTGGACAAGGCATCAAGTACATTATTGATTAGAACTAGTCTGCCCCTAAGGGAAAGATATTGGCTTTTCCAGTTAACTAGTTTCTTTTCACACTTCTCTATTACACCATTCCAAATTTCTTTTGACTTGCTCTTTGCTCCCAAAGGCATTCCAAGATACACGGAAGGAAGTTCTCCAATTTTCCCTCCCAGAATGTTAGCTAGGTATTGGATATCAGGGACCTCATTGACTAGATATAGATGACTCTTGCTTCAATTAATATGCAACCCATATATGACTTCAAATAGAATAAATAACACCCTCAGAATTTTCAGTTGGTCTCTATCAGCTTCACCGTCCTCTCTGGGATGAGAAGAAGCTGGGGAACCATTGATTAGGATGGAGAATTTGACAGTGCTTATGTAGAATTTGATCCAGTTGATCCATTTGCTTCCAAACCCCATCTTCTCCAAACTTCCAAGAGTTATTAAATGATCAAAAGCCTTCTGAATGTCTAGCTTACATAGGATGCCTGGGAGTTTGCTTTTGATCCTTGTGTCTACACATTCATTTGCTATAAGAATGACATCCATTATCTGTCTCCCTTTGATAAAAGGCCATCTGTTGAGCATCCACCAATTTGTGTACCACTTTCTTGAGTCTCTCAGTCAACAACTTAGAGATGATTTTGTAGATGCTACCTATTAGGCTGATGGGTCTAAAGTCTTTCAATTCCTTGGCACCCACCTTCTTAGGAATCAAAGCCACATAGGTGGCATTGAAGCTTTTTTCAAAAACACCTCTCTTATAAAAATTTTGAATAGCAGTAGTGACATCAGCATTGACTACCTCCCAACGGTGAGTGAAGAAAGCCATGGTATAGCCATCAGGGCCAGGAGCTTTATCCCAACACATGCTTGAACACTGCTCCATATCTCTTGGGCTTCAAACGGACTCTGTAGTATCTGGTTTTCTTCTGGAGTGATCATAGGACAAACTCTAAGGTTTCCATGGGGCCTCCATTCTTCTGACTCGGCGTAGAGGTTTTGATAGAATGAGATGATTTCCATCTTGATAACTACAGGATTTCGGATAGATTCACCTTCAATTCCTAACATGCCAATGTTGTTGTTCCTTTTATGAGCATTGACAGTTCTATGAAAGAACTTGGTATTATTATCTCCTTGTTTCAACCAAAGAGCTCTTGATCTCTGTTTCCATGCGACTTCTTCTTTTCTTGCAATCTCCTCAAATTCCACTGTTAATGTTGCTTTTGAGAGTATTTCATCTTCATTTAGAGTCCTGAGGTCCTGAATCTCATCTAATTCACTTAATTGAGAGAGGATGCTTCTGCATTTCTAGATTTCCTTGGATAGTTTTGCTCCACTCTCTGAATTTCCTTTAAGAGCCTTCGGCTTGAAGGCTATAGTGTTGTTAGGTCTTCCTTCACAGATGAAAGAGTCCTACCATTCTTTGACTCTCTCTTTGAAACCCTCTGTCTGCAGCCACCAATTTTCGAATTTGAAATAGGATTTGATAGGCTCCCAATTCCCACATTGAAGTAACAAAGGCGTGTGATCAGAAGTTACTCTATGCAAGGTTGATTGTTTGATACTCCCGAAGCCCTCATCCCAATCTTCAGAAATAAGAAATCTGTCTAGTCTAGCTGCAATGTCATGTCTGACTCCTTTCCTCCAAGTGAACTTACTTCCTAGTAGTTGTAGATCTACCAACTCCATATCCTCGATGAACTCAGCGAAGTCGGTCATTGATCTGGAGATTCTATTATAGTTTTTCTTCTCTAAAGGAAATCTAACTGTATTAAAGTCCCCACTACCACCCAGGGACCTGAGAACAAGCCTCTTGTTGCACCAATTTCCCACAAAACTTCTCTCTCTGCCCTATCATTAGGAGCATAAATACTGGTTAAGTGCCAAGACAAGTCCTGTGTTTTTCCAGTGAACTTACATGTGATAGAGTAGGAAGCCAAGCTGGTTGTTTCACCTTCCCATATCCTGTTGTCCCACATCAGTAAAATGCCTCCCCTGGTACCGCTAGCCTCTACTTGTGCAAATCTGCACCATCTATTGGCCCATAATTCTCTCACAGTATACATCTGCTTTCCAAGTGTTAATGCAGCTATTGATCAGTCTCCTCTTCCTTACCTTGTTCAAACCCCTCACATTCCATGATACAATGTTGACTTTCATTGATCTTGATTGATGTGGTAGCCCCCTCTGCTTCTGGTACCATTGCTTTTGAAATTGTTTCCGATGCCCAGGTTCTTTAGTTCTTTAGAGCCCTTAGTTTTAGGAGTTGTTGTCACCATTATTCCTGCAATACCCCTATGTGTTTGTCTTTTTTGATCGATCTTCATGAAGAGCTGTAAAGCCTCTTTTTCGCAACCATGGAAATCAACCCCAAATTCTTCACCAAGTTTGATGATGTTTTGGTGTACCCAGATAAGTGTATCAAAGTCAGGGTCCTTCTCAGGTTCTTGGGAGTGTGAATTCAATGGTTCAACCTCTTCAATTGCCCCTTCAGTATTTTCCTCCCCTTCTGTGTTTTTGCAAGGGTTGGAAACCTAGTGGGGAGCAATTTGGTTCTTCAGCAATGATCATGGCACTTTCCTTGTCAACTGGGTCTATCTGGGGTTCTTCAGTTCCTTCTTCTTCCTTTGATGTTGCCCTTTCTTCGATCAGATTTGACTCTGGTTCGCTGTTTGCAGCATGCAAAATTTTAGGAGGCAGAGAAATTGTTGATATCTCTTCAATTAGTGGGTCTGGTCTGTATTTACTAGAGGGTTCCAAATTGGGCTTGTCTTCTGAAATGACTTGGACCATGATATCTGGGCCCAAAGATAGCTTATTATGTAACATGGACCTTGTTTGTATGGGGTCATTTAAATTAAATGCCCCCTTACGTGTTAGGTCACGTGTAACTTCTGGAAACCTAGGCTGTAAGGCTTTTGAGCAACCCACGTGCCCCATCCCATCTCCATATTCTTGAGCCCCTCCCACTGCCAACATAGTCTACGATTACCCGCTGGTCCAAGGCCTTCATCTCTCTTCCTTCGCCGGAGGAAAATCTTACCGGCGACTCGCACCAGACTTGGATAGTGTAAGTAATTCCTTCGTTTTCAATGATTACTGCCTTAGGGATAAAATCCCCATCTCCTCTCACCTTCAATCTGGCCCATTTTAGGTGATTTTTGAGTTACGTTTCTTCCTCAGTTTGAACCCAACCTCCACAGTGATTTCCAACCTCTTTGAAGACTTTCTGGGACCAAAGATGAAGTGGAAGTCCAACAAGTCTGATCCAAACATGTTCTATCTTCTCCATTTTTGATATAGAGTCCACTGTTGGCGACCACCAGTGGAGATGAAATTCATGAAACTTCCATATCCAGTTCCCTTTTAGCACATGTTCAGCAGTTTTTTTTTAGGAAAACTCAAATAGAAATTGATTTTAGCCCATCTCATAGATGTTTACCCCATGAGCTTGCTTCCAAGTGCTGTTGGCCCACCGCCGGATCTCCGAGAGGTTCGGGATGTCAGAAATCCTAACTGGAAGGCTACCCACCACGCTCCTGGAAAGGAGTTCATTTTGGACAGTGCTGGTTCCTCAAGAGATTTTGATAATGCCCTCTTTTTCATGCACGGAGGCCTTTTCCATTTCTCTGATTGTCCATTTGTTTCTTCTTATTGTGTCTGAATAAAGGAGTCCTTCCTCTGTATTCCTAGGGACAATTGTAACTGCCCTCTGGGCTCTGCTATTAATGAATCTTGATATTTTAACTGCAATGTCCAACCACCCTGTATTAAATGCCAATTCAGGTATAATAATAACAGATCTCCTTCTCTTTTGCATGTTTATAATACTTATATAGCGCCCATATTTGTTGAAGTTTCTCGAGCGGAAGAACTCAGAGAAGTGGTCTTGGGACTTCCATCTTCTCACTGAATTACCCTTCCGTTTCGAAGCTTCTGTTAGAGCATAGCATAACCATTCCATCGTCTTCTGGCGGAAGAAAGTCCTCCTGAATATGTTATGACCTCGTTCTGCCCAGTTATACCATGTCTCTAGATTCCTCCTTGATTATGTCGTATGATTTGGAACCTACAACAAAGTAAATTGCATTGTCATCCATGGTATTGCAGACTTGAGAAGAAGAAGAGAGTTTTGTTTTGCAGCTGAATGAAAAATGATTGAAAAATGGCCGGAAAAAAGCTTCCCGTCGCCGGAGAAAAGTAAAAGTGGTCGGAATCTAGAACTGCAAGGATGGATTCGGTCGGAAGAGGGTGCTGAAGAGGCTGTCCTGAAGAAAAAAGTTGAAAAGTTGCCCGGAGCAGGCTCACGCGCCTGCGCGTGGTGGAGTGCTCGCCGGCGCTTGGCCGTGCGTGGGAGATCCGATGTCGGAGCTGTTTGCACTTTGCAGGGGTAGGCTCGCGTCACTAGTGGCTCTCCGATGGTGTTTGTATGAACTCAGAATTCCAGGTTCTCAGGCTCCTCGGGGAGGAGTGCCTGAGAGCATATTTTTCAGTACTGTTTTAAAAGATATTTTTCTTGGCTTTAGCAGATTCCTCAGTATTAGTGGCTCTCCGATGGTAATAATTTTTTTTACAGCTGAAAAATCCCTTTTTTTTACAGCTCAGGGATTTTTCAGCTGTAAAAAAAATTATTACCAGCAAAAAAACATATTTTAACCGCAATTTCACAGGCGATGCAAGCCATTAGAAAAAGCAATATTACAATATAAAGTTCAGTAAAAAAATTGTTTGGGACTTAAAGTTAGGCTTCAGTTTTCAGGTTTATCAAATAGGCAATTTAAACATTTCTGTTCGGTGGATGGTCATCATTTTCAGCTTTATTATCTTGTTTCTATTTTGCTTTCTTTCCCTTTTGCCTTTCGGGAAAAATTGGTCCCCTGAAAATATGTATGGAACAAGTTTTGATCTCCTCTGCTTCTGACAGCAGTTCAACTACCTTTGCTTTGGATTTTCTATGTTGCATGGTTAAACGTGCCATCTGTCTACTCAAGGCTTAACTTGTTTTGTGCACCCTACAGGCAGGAGCTGATGTCAATGTTAGGGCTGGTGAAGCAACCCCTTTGCTCATTGCTGCTCATAATGGTAGTGCAGAAATTATTAAGTGCTTACTACAAGCTGGAGCTGATCCTAATGCTGCTGATGAGGTAACTGAAAAGAAAATTTAACAGAATATAATGTTCTTTGTTGTTTTCACATTTTTTGGAAGAAATTCTAAGGAATCCTTCTTCTTTCAATTGTTGGAAAGATGATTCCAAACGATTTAAGTTTCTTTTCGTTTGTTCTGTTTATCTGCAAGCACGTGTCAATTATATTCCTTATTATCACTTTCTAGTCTACTGCCCTCTAATTCTTTTTCAGATTTGTAATGAATATTTCGGTCCGGGAATCCAGATCTCTTGTAAAATCTCGGTACCTTATTCATCTGTTCCGAGGGATTACTGAAGTTGAAGAATATGGTCTTAAACCTGGACCTACAGCGAGAACTAATAATTTTAGGGTTATGGGTCACTGTAGTTATGTTGAGAAAAATAATTCTATTTTGACTCCATAATTATATTGTAAAATTTTTAATTCTGGGTTCCTCAAATAAATAGTTTGCAAATAAAATATATAACACAAGTTGTTGTATTAGAACACAATCCCTTAACTCCATTAAAACAAACATTTCACATTTCAAATATGTAAGATTGAGTTAACAAGAAACTGCATTCTGTTATGTCTGTGAAGCTTTTTTACAGCTTACCTTTTGCTGAAGGCTCAATTATCGGATGCCTTCTGGATTCATCATTAATTATGGTGAAAAATCAGCATCTATAAATGTAAAAGCTAGTGTATTACGTGAGATGCCACAACAGATGTGACTTGAAGGGGCCTGGAGTCTTCTTTCTGTCCTGGTCTACTGTATCTTCAACTTAGTAATATGTGATTCATTCTGATCAAATTTAGGGACCTGTTATCTTGTTATTTAACATATATTCGTATGGATTCCGTGGTATTCAGAATTTTCTCCTGGGTGAACACAGAACTTTAATCATGATTTTTTTTTATTTTGAACAAGTCATTGGAAAAAAATCAATTAGCAATTTCCACAAGGACTGTTAAACGAATACCGAAATATAACTTTTGCTACCTCTATAGGATGGTAACAAGCCAATACATGTTGCAGCTACAAGGGGCTGTCGGCCAGCTGTTGAAGCTTTGTTCGCAGTCACACCGCGGATTCAGAGCGTTCCAGAATGGAGTGTGGATGGACTCATTAAGTTTATGCAATCTGAGCCTATCCTATCTGAAACTAGGATAAACCAGGTACTTAATTTGTCCTTCTGTAAGATAAATCACAGCTGGTTTTGGTCTTCTTTAGGAGTTGCTTGCAAATATTGATATAGCTCTGTGACTATTTCCTTTACTTGTCTCATGCAAATTTCAGCTTCTTTTTCTTTGTCTACACTGTGATAATTGCAGGAAAGAACAGAAGCTGGGAGGGAACCAAGCAAGAGAGAAACTATTATTCCAAAGAAAGATTTACCCAAGGTCTGTTATTGTGGTAACTGTTATTTATGTGTGAATTTTTGGTCATCCCGTTATCAAATTGTAAGTGACAAGTATCTACTCCCTCCTGTTACATTTATTTAGATTTGCTTTTTGTATAATGTCAAGAGAATGGAATATTTTCACATGTTTTTCTAGTTTTGTCCTTACCATAATAGTAATCATTAACAGAAGTGAATAAGCTTATCGTGAAGGGTAGTTCTGGAACTAAAGTAAATCATTTGTGAAAATGGAACAAAATGAGCATATTTTCCCCTTATGTATATATTGTTTTCTGTTCTTGCATTTCTTCTGGTGAAGCACTCTTGAAGACAGATTGGAAATTCAATCATCGTGAATATGACAATATATCCGTGAAAGATGTAGGCAACAAATTGAATTTGCATGTGCAATTATATGTAGTAAAAAACATAATAATACTGCTTCTGAGGACAAGGCAATTAATGTCTTCAAGAAGTGCCAATGAACAATGTTGTGGGAACAGTTCAAGTTTTGCTTACGGTACTTGACACAGTGAAACATTTCCTTGGGCTGCAAAATGCATATTGTTTCTCTTATAGTCAGTGAAATCATACCGGCGATGTGGTACCAGACTCCCATTCCAGCTGACTTCAAATTGGAAAGAGGATCAATATCTTTTTATACTCTTTGTTTTTACTTGTATGCATCTCTTTCATTTGAAATATCTCAGCGTGGACACTATCCTTTGTTGGGGAAACAGTTTACAGAATAGTGCTAAATATCTTGCATCGGCATTATTAATTGATCTGCAGGTGACTCCTGAAGCAAAGAAGAAAGCTGCAGATGCGAAAGCGAGGGGAGATGAGGCATTTAAGAGGAAGGATTACACTATGGCTGTGGATGCTTATACACAGGTACTACATGTTAGGCTTATTGGATTCCTTTTGAATTCCCACCTCTCCCCCTCCCCCCTGTAAAACACATGCGCAAGGGAAAAAGAAAGCAGAAGATAATGATGAACGGATGTAATTATCCTCTTCATAGTGCAAGCATAAGGATTAGATTTTGACAATGGTCTGCTGGTGATAGTGTGTTTGAAGTCAGCTTACGGGGAAACTTGAAAATATTACTAAACCAGAAGTAAAACATTTCCTTACGGCGCTCGATTGTGTTCTGCTGATAATCTGCAGGCAATCGATTTTGATCCAACTGATGGCATTCTGTTTTCAAATAGAAGTCTTTGTTGGATCCGCTTGGGGCAAGCTGAACATGCTTTACGTGATGGCAAGGCCTGCAGACAACTTAGACCAGATTGGGCAAAAGCTTGTTTTCGGGAAGGCGCAGCTCTACGGCTATTGCAGGCATGCCCTTATCCTCCTGGAGTTAAATATTGCAAACTTATATAGCCATATTTTCTGATATTCTAATATTTCCTTCTCAGAGATTTGAAGACGCAGCCAATGCTTTCTATGAGGGCGTACAGATCGACCCTGAAAGTATGGAGCTCGCAACTGCTTTCAGGTATGCATGTTGAAACTCGAAGCTCTTTTTTTCAAAAGCAACTGTAGATGATATTTCTCTAGCATCATTTTATCGTAGAACCTTAGTCTAATGCAGTAGTTTCTATATCCAAACTTTTCTCATTGTTGTGAGGTACAAATTTGATTGCAGGGAAGCTGTTGAGGCTGGTAGAGAATTTCATGGCAAGAATAAGAAAAATTCTCAGTCATCCAGGAGTTAGTGGTGTTAAGAAAGTGCATAATGACTGGGTTTCTGCCGGAGCAAGTAGATAATTTTATCGGACATGCCCTTTTTTTTGGTAGTTTTAGAATGTATCATGTGATTTGTTCTGTTGCATCTTCAGAAATTTATACTCAATATAATTTCTCTTAAGTTTTGTGAGGTTCCTCCCACAGACCTCAAGTTTCCCTTTTAGTAATATTTTAAAATTTGATTTACTTCTGTTTATCCTTTTTAAGTGGAGGATCATGCTTGGCCTATACAAACTTTACAAGGAACAGTGCTATGTCCCAAGCTCCTTTATTTTCTCTCTCGAAGGTATAGGATACTATCCATTAATATTAGGCGTTTTGGCATGGTATAACAACATACCCATATAATTGACAGGAAATAGCCCTAGTTATAAATATTGGCAGGAAATAGCCCTAGTTATAAATATTGGCAGGAAATAGCCCTAGTTATAAATATTGGCAGGAAATAGCCCTAGTTATAAATATTGGCAGGAAATAGCCCTAGTTATAAACATTGGCATCAAATAGCCAATAAATGTATATCACAATAATAATATGTATATCACAATTTTTTTTCTTCTTTGTTTATATCAACAGGTATATTAAAATTTTATTTTCATTCTTTATATATAAATAATATTATTCTGTGTATATCAATAATATAAAATTATATATATAGTTATTGCTGCTTTTATATCAATGTATATCACAATAAAAATATTATATTATTTATATATCACAGTGTATAGCACATCGGGCATGTGTATACCAAAATAGATATCATAAGTTTATTTTTCTTCTTTGTGTCTAACGAAAATTAATTTTCTTTGTATACTAGAATATTATTTGTTCCTACAATTATATTTATTATTTTTATATTTTAGAACTTGCTTAAACATGCTATATCAAAAATTTATTTTCCATTTTTGATCAATAATTAATAATTAGATTATTCACAGTGTATAACATAATAATAATGTGTATATCAAAAATATTTATTCAAATTTTATTTTCCTTCTTTGTATAACACATTTCAGATTGAAAACTCAAGTTCAAGACGACTCCACATGTGTATGAGTGTATCCCCTATTGTAACCCATGTATATTTCTGTGTACATTAGTGATATCTCATGTATATTATGTGTATCCGTGTATATCCATAAAAATTTGTGTCATATATACGATATACAATGAAATACACAAGCGTCCATAAAACAATTGTGTTGTATACACGATATACAAAGTGAAATACACAGACGTCCTTAAAATCTTTTGTGTAATATACACTGATGTACACGATATACAACGTGATATACACATTGCAATTGGATTTTTAGGTTTGATTTTTTACCTGAAACCAGTCTAAATCACTTCTAATCTTGCTCTTGTATATCGCCTCGTTTAGTTATTTTCAACCAATTTCAATCACACTCACTCATTCAATCCAACCAAAAAAAGAAAGAGAGAAGAAAAACAAAGTTGAAATATATTTTCTCTCTCTTAGTTTTTGCTAATCTTGCTCAAATTTTGTATATAGCCTCATTTAGGTATTTTCAACCAATTTCAATCACACCCACTCATTCAATCCAACGAAAAAAAAGGAGAGAAGAAAAACAAAGTTGAAATATATTTTCTCTCTCTTAGTTTTTACTTCTGATTTTCTCTGATGTGAGATCAACCTTACATTTTCATCCCACTGATTTTTTTTGCATAATTTATAAGAATTTTTGCTAAACTATGAGAGTAAAAGAGAAGAGATACAAGAAGAAATACAAGGAGAGAGAGGGAGGGAAGCTAAAATAAACGTGTAGTTTTTTTTTGAGAGAACATAAAAGAGAGTAATTTTTTTTTAATATTTGGCTATATAATGCCAATTGTTTGGGGTTATCTTTACCAAACCTAATATAAGGCTAAGAAATTGCCAATTCCTATTATGTGTTGTCGATGCTCAAATTCAGACGAGTCAATTTAGACCATTCAATATCTTTTCCGTGGTGGTGAAAAAGCTATACAAAGCAATGTCTTTAAAGGAGACAATGGACTCGTGCAGTTTTCTGTAAAGGCCTAAAGAAAGTGATGAAAAAGTCCTTTCCTTTATTGAGGTAGGGGTATAATAAAGGCAAAATAGGCCACAATGTACTTATAGTGTTTAATTGAAGACCATGTGTTAAAAGGTGTTGTCTAGGTCTTATATTTAAAACATTTGAATAGCGTATATGATATTTTGGTAGAGTGGGTGCAGATCCTTTTTGTCAGTTGTACTAGATCTGTAAATTTTCAAATGTGGGACAAATTCATTATAGTATCAAGTATTCAATACACACCCAGACCGCAGGGGCACGAGCAGGCACGCTTCCTATATTCTCTATACACCAAGAAAGAAATTGACACTACCTATTTTTTTAAAAAAACACTATCAACGTATATAATTCTTGAGCCGAGGGTCTATCGAAAACAACTTCTTTACTCCTTCGGGGTAAGGGTAAGGTCTGCGTACACATCACCCTCCCCAGACCCTACTTGTGAGATTTTACTGGGTTGTTATTGTATCATCATATTCAACCTGTTCTAGCAATTAATTTGTCTTATTTTTCAGGTGGCCAATCCCACTTTTTATGGATGGATATGAAAAAAAATCAGCAAAAACACGAATACAACCAATCAGATGCACAACAGTAGAGCAAGACTCTCCTAGCAAAGTTAATCCAAGATACTGTTACATGGGTTGATCACATTTGCATCTTTTGTTTACACCTTTTTTCAAAGTCATATCATACCATAAGACACAGGAAGCCAGCCATACATTGAAAAATTGGAATAAATAACCACAAGCAGTCATTCGCTAGGTGAAAGTTATCCTGGCAACCTGTACAGTATGGCACTTGTTTTCAAGTTTACAAAGCAAAATCATCCTTCAGTTACATACTTGTATCATAACGGTTTGTGCGAAAATAAAGATCAATTGGAATTCTACATACTCTGGATCTTCCGAGTTTTTATTACTAAAACAGGATTCTATCTGGTTCAGATGTGTGCTCATTTACTAAAACATGAGGTCTAAATGTGTACTAAAATTAGACACAAATTTGTAAATACATAATTGATACCCAACTCCAGCTACTTTTGGTCTGACTGACATGCTACAATGTTTAGATTCGAGCAGTACGATCTGATGGCAAACTAAGTATATTCCTTTGACACAACAAAGTTATACCAGATACAAATTCAGGTAAAAACAGGAATATATCATGTAATTAGTACTTTTCTTGAACAGGGGACATGCATATGCAAGGCCACATTAGCATAGACAGCAAAAGGATTTGATTTCTTTCTCAACAGCGATCAGGTCAGCTTCCCCTGAGCGTGAATAGCTTAAATACAAAGTTACAAACAGATAAGGTTAAAAACACTTGAAAGGCTATCACAAGAAGAAATTTCCCTAGTTTGTTGCATACACCTTGGAATTTCAGCTATGAGCTCAGGTCTATGATTTTTTTGATAAGGATCTGTCAAGTCTATGATATTAAAAAGGAAAGAGTAACTTATTCTTTCTTTTTCAGTTCAAGTTGCTAACTGCCGTGACAACCAGATTTTATATACGTGAATCACACTGGCGTGAATCATGAGCAAATAAAGTGATATGTTTTGGTCTGGGAAGTGGCCCTTAGATATGGATAGCAGCCTGACTAGAGTGGAATAAACACGGACACTACTGAAAACCAGTTGCAAATTCAGAACAAATGGTAGTACAAAATAGGACTGCAAATATACACATGAATTCTATACTACATTATCAACAATCTTACAATCTCCAAGGTGATGAGGAAACCACTACAAAGGTTTCAAGAGCAGTCTACTTTACTCCTTTGAAGGTCATGCACGAGCAGATGTAGCTAAATTCCAGCATTGGAACCATTCTGATAGGTATTAATAGGTACAGAAGAACAATTATAATGCAGGCAAGGAAGGGGAAAGGAGAAGGCCAAGACAAAGAGCGCTAAGGGACAAATTATTGAAAACATAGTAAAGGCAAATCAATCCAGCCATTATACAGCAAAATCACACACCTAACTCTGCAAACACATGCTAACTGGAATTACATTAAGCTACTATATCATATTAGGAAATAGCTATGCATAAATGAACTGTAAGATAGAAGCCTAAGAAATTCAAACAGATGGAAACAATGGCAACATGAAAACAAAGGAGCCAGGATAACAGCTTGAGAAGAGGATAAAAGTAAAGATGGCGTGTTTTCGCATTCACATTTGCTGATATTATTCATCCAAACAAAACACCAAGAACAAAGATACCATACTTGGAACCACATATTGACATAAATGAACAAAATGTAACCTTTTCTTTAGGATAAGAAACAAAGAATTGTAACAATTGACCTTAACAGAACCTAATAAACACATAGATTTAGCACAAAACTGACCAAACTTTTAATTGAGTACAAGGCATCAGTTTGATCGACCTTCATTCGTATCATAATCAAAACAAAAGAACAATCCCAATTCATAGTGTTGAGGTATAAATAATCACCTTTGCCTATCTATAGGCAGACCCCTCCAAGAAAAATCCAATCTTTTCAAAAATTGGAAATGTTCCTTCACATGTTACACTTTTGCAACCACTACTTCACCAATGTAATCCAAGAATAATTAACAAAATCTCTTCTTTCAGAAAAATGCATTTATCTATAACTAGGGCTGATTTGTCCTCCTCAACTGACAACAGAAAGCAAGCCACCTTCAGCAGCCTCATTCTCATCCAAGAACAAATCCTCAGTTCCCCTTAACGACCCGTGCAGGCCCAAAACACAAAACCCAATAACCAAAGCAACCAAAACATTGAGACCCACATGAGTAAACGCCAAGGCAATGACAGTAACCAAACCCAAACCAACCAAAACAAGGCGATCGTCTAAATGGGCCCCCAATATTACAATTGGCTCTTCACTGAAGTAATATAACCAAGCTATAGATACAACTAAGAAGACGATCATGGAGATTGGGTTGTATATAAGGCTGAGGAAGATAATGAGGAGGATTACCATGGTATAGTTCACACGGAAGTAGTTGAGGTTGCGCCTCACGCGCGACATGGCTTCGGAGTAGTTGTAGGGAAGGGAGAAAACGGTGTAGTCGAAGAACACGTGCCATGGACGGCGCGTGGCAGTGTTGGATCTGGTTGTTGAGAGGAAGGTGGTGGAGGGACGCGGTGGCTGTGGTGGTAGTGGACCAGGTGGTGGTGGACGAGGGGGTTTCCTGGCGGAATGAGCTGTGGGGAGTGGTGGCGGGGTGGAAGTTGGAAGTGTGCCATAATTGGAGGGCTTTTCAGAAATAGCCATTTTAGATTCAGTATATTCTCTATTTCAGATTTTCTTGTTGTGCTTGTGTTTTTTATTTCCTTTTATAGCTTAAAGATTAGAACTTTGGAACAATGGAGGATGAGGTGGGAGCAGACTGACTGACAGCCTGACGATGAATTGTCGTTTGCTTTTTTATTCTTTTTTTTTTTTGCAAAAGTAGCCAAATCTGACAACCCATTGCTCCGGCCGACGTGTACCAACTGATATGAATCATTAAGTTTCATCAACAATTCTTAAAATTAAACATATTGTTTAGATTTCATATTAAGTTTGCATTTATTTTGAATTTCTTAGAAGTCATTTGCTCTATATAATTTTTGATTGTTAAAATTTCGTTAAGCTTGAAAGCATATATGACTTGTAATTTTGTTAGATTTCTTCCTTCAATGATTTTTAGTTGTCTTGTCTAACTATTTTATTTTTCTTCTTCTTTGGATTAGATCTCTACAATTCTTTGATATTTTCTTCGAGTTGAAACTAATGAAAAAGAGCAAATCTCATACACAATAGAGAATTTTACAACATAAGGATATTTCAACAGATCGTGCCAAGTTTTGTTTATTCAATTCTTGCTTAATATATATTCACTTGTGAAACTTTTTTTATCTACTCCTATATAATTCGAATAAATTAAATGGTTTGAATGTGCATTTCGTATGCCATTTTTTTTAAAATTCGACAAAAATGAAAGAAAAACAGAAAATAGTTGTTATGATTTTCGGTGTATTCGATTGGCTGTTTATATAAAAATTCTTTTTCTTTTGGAAAAACGAACTAAATTGAGTCATAAACACTCGCACAAATGGCTGAAAAACGAAATTTCTCAAAATGTTGTAGGTCGGACTACCTTAGCTAAATCAGTTGTAGCATCAATTGCAAATCATGTGATGCTATGAAAGTTACTCCCTAGCACTGTAACGAAGGAAATAGATAAAATCCAAAGGGATTTCGATCAATGATGAGGAGACACAAAAGTAGGAAAAAAACTAGATCTAATCATAAAATTGCAAAATACATAAGCTGGCAGCTCTAAAAGCAGGTACGCACAAACTAAACACTGATACATCGACAAAAGGAGATTAAATCCGGCATTTTATTTTGAAAAGAGTGGAGTCGCAATCATATAATGCGATTTATAGGTCTCATTCAAGTAATATAATTTATAAGTCCCGTTCTCCTAAAGCGTTAAGTCGCATTCAGAATCACGATTTATGAGTCAACAAATGGTTTTATTCTATTTAAAATTTTGACGTACAGGTAAAAGATTAATCTTTAATATTTTTCTAAATCAACAACAACAACAACCCACTATAATTCCATTTAGTAGGGTCTGGGAAGGGTAGTGTATACGCAGACCTTACCTCTATCCTGGAGTAGAGAGGCTGTTTCCAAATAGACCCCCGATATCCTTCCCTCCAAGAACTTCCCACCTTGCTCTTGGGGAGACTCGACCTCACAACCTTAATATTTTTCTAAATCAACAACAACAACAACCCACTATAATTCCGTTTAGTAGGGTCTGGGAAGGGTAGTGTATACGCAGACCTTACCTCTATCCTGGAGTAGAGAGGCTGTTTCCAAATAGACCCCCGATATCCTTCCCTCCAAGAACTTCCCACCTTGCTCTTGGGGAGACTCGACCTCACAACCTTAATATTTTTCTAAATCGAGTCCTTTAATTAATGATATATGAATCTTTATCATTCCTCCACATCTCTTGGAGTGATTTGTACTAACTTATTCTAAGGTTTGGGGAACTATGCCATTTTGTGAAAAGGCCGAGAATAATTTTTGCGTCAAGAGATTTCAATTCGAACCGATATATATTCATGGTTATGATGTTATTGGCTTAATTAGATGTTAAATAGGTAATTAAAGTCATAAGAATGTTGATATTCTCCTCCTACATTTAGATGAATATTTGCACAATTGCTAAGTTAGAGGGATCTCGAAACTTACAACTAATATTTGGAGTTATGCACTTCTCATTTCAACCACCTAGCTATTTTGATTCTGTGTAACATGGTCATCTATCATACCATTTTCCTAAAACATCATATTTTACATTTTTGAATTGTTATTTTCATTTAAGCATCGCACTCGTGTCTAATCTCACCTCATTCTCACTGATCTTCTTAGCATAGGCTGCAAATAGCATATACACTTTCTTCTTTACCATAGCTGAATGTTCAAGAAAATAGTATTCCTGATCAACCGTACGTAGTCATTTCGTACTTGTGCTAGTGTTTCCAGAGTAGTATTTAGTAGGCGTTTGGACATAAAAAAATGTAATTTTTTGAAAAAAAAGAAAGAAGTAGTATTTGGAGTTAAATTGAAAAATGATATTTGGAATTTGAAATTATGTTTGGACATGCATTTTACTTGAAAAAATATTGTAATTTTGTGGGTGGAGATTTTTTTTTTTTTTTTTAAATTCCATTTTTTTCCTTAAAAAACTTATAAAATTTCATGGACAAACACATTTTTTAAGAAAATTTATGAACAAACAGGTCCTTAGACTTTTTTTCCCAGAGAAATTAGTATGTTTACTCCTTGCCTTGAAAATGTTAAAATAGCACGATCTAGTCAGTTTTCGGACTAGTCATTCAAAAATAGCCAGCGTTTACAAAGTCAATGAAAAATAACCACTATTTTGCTGCAACAGAGATCAGTCCAACATAATATACTGAAGTTCGGTGCACCTGTGTATGAACTTCCAGCATATTATGCTGGACCGGTATACTTTGCTGGCTCCAGTATAGTATACTAGAGACTGAATCACCGGTGCTCCAAACTCCAGTATATTATGCTGGATCGGTATATTACGCTGGAGTATTTTTTCCGAATTTTGAACAGTATTTTCGTCCGAATTTATCTTTACATGAAAAGTGACTAAATTTCGATTACTTTTAAAACCGTAACTATTTTTGAATGATCATTTATAAATCTGGCTATTTTTTAATTTCTCGCCTTGAAAAGGGGAGATGCTAGCTATTTAAGTAACAAGCAACATAATCAACACAAAGCAAGTGATCATGTTAAGTGGTGCTTCATTCATTCAATCCATAGCACTAACAACAAGAACAAGCTTTTATTCTATTAATAGTGAAGGGCATGTAGAGCTTTCAGATAATTACCATACTATATTAAAAGCTAGCTCAGCCCCTTCTTATTCTAAACGGCTCTTAAAAATAAGATATACTAGTATATATGAATTATTGTGGTTTTTTATGATGGTACTTAATATATCTGGAAGCAGATTAATTAGTCATTGCAGTTGACAAATTCATAGTTGACAGTAAGGTGGCCTTGCTGATAGCCCACTCCATTTGTGTCCAATTGGTTAAAGACGTTTACATCTAAATCAAGCCCTCCATTGCTGCATTGATCTACTATTCTCACTGTTGTTTGAGTTCCTGTTCCTGTGTTCGTCACCTGCGTTTAGCTTCACCATTAATACATATCCAGATATTCAGTATTTTTAGTTATTTTGCTACTTACAGTATTTTCTCTTTCAAATAATTTACTTATACCAAACATTTTAACCAAAAACGTGTCACTCACAATATGAAGAATTTTTACACTAAAATAGTAAACTTGTACTAGTAAGAGCCCGTCTGGACATAAATTTTTTTTTGTTGCTTTTTTTGAAAAAAAAATTGAAAACAATGTTTGGACATACAATTCTTATCATTTTTTTCCTTTTCACTTGAAAATCTATTTTCAAATTTGAAATTTCAATTGAAAATGGGAATTTTCAAGTTTTTAGATTTACAAATTTACCCCATATTTTTAAACAATAACATTTTGATTGTTTATGATATATCTTTTGTTGATTTTTTGGGTTGCTACTTCTTTTTCTTTGTACTTTTGGCTAATAATATTCACTTACTTCATAAAAAAATAAATAGCATTTTGATTGTTTATTTCAAATAGGATAATCAAATTGGGGTGGTTTTGATATTTTTTACAAGTTGTGGGGTATTAATCATGTTTTATGGTTTTGAAAAAAAAGACATGCAAAAATTATAACCAAACACTAACTTCATCTTCAATTCAAATTTTAGTGAAATTCCAAATTTGAAAAAGAAATTTGAAATCATGTCCAAACGCCTACTAAGTTCCTTATCCTTTTTTCCAGGTTATTAGTTCCATTTTCATTAGCCGATTTGATAGTGCAAAATGCTTTTATACCGACAAGTATATAGAAGTTAAACTCTAAAACAAACTATAGAGTTTAAATTATATGCACCGATAATATAGTACCATCAGGTAAAAGTTAACCTACATCAATATGTAACTCTTTCACGACAAAACTGAAATAGTAACCTTAAAAACCGGGTTAAAAAAATTAAAGATGTCGTACCCTCAAGCATCTACCACAGGAATCTTGGCCTCGAGGTCCAGCAGGACCACAGAAAGCAGTCCAGCCATATTTCTGGCGCCATGCGAGAGGCTTGTCGGCATCCCAAGTAGCGCAGAAAGCACTTGCTGCTCTCAAATCCCAGTTAATGTTCTGTGGGTTATATAAATGATACGTCGATCTCACGTTTGTGGCGCTCTGTGCCGCCGCCATTGCCATCACCATGCTGATGATCAACAATGCCACGCACAACTTATAATTATTAACTCTCTCCATTTTCTTTCTTCTCTTAATTTTCAGTATTGGTTTAGGTTTTTTGGTGAAATGATAAGGCCATATTTATAGGGAAAGTGTAGGAGGGATGAAGCTATAATGGGGTGTACTAGAGTGGAAAAGTTATGTGGTTGTGAAAGACTGGACCTCCTGTTGGAATAATTACTGGGAAGACTTTTCAACCTGTTCGACGTTGAATACAAAAGTTATAGTAAGGTTTTTATTTTTATTTTTGTTGGGAGGGAAAAGATGTCACAAGAAAAGGTCGAAGAATGGCTCGAAGGTCTGTTGAGTCGGCAAGAAATCGTAATTAAAGATGAAGCTAAGTTGAGCCAGGAACAAACCATCTAATTAACGTAACGGACCTGTCTTGATCGAGAAAACAAGAACTAGCTAGCAACCATAATCCACTACTGAAGCTTCGTTAACAATTAAAGACAAATACTAGCTAGGTTATATTAGTTATTAAAAAGTATATTCATAGACGTAATTATAAGATATATACGAAAATAGAATTGTACGTATATATATTTTTAATTTTCCCATTTCGGAATATGCTTAATAAATTCGATTTCTCTACAATATAATCTATTCCTACATACCATTAATTTGATTTATCAAATGTTGTCTAGAACTTGGAAAAACTGTTCCTTTAATTTGGTCATTTCTGCTGAAGAATAGTCTTCTTGGACACGTGTATACAGAGAACAAGAGGCCGTTTCTCCCGGGGAAAGGACTAACATGCATTATGAAGTCGTGCATTTCTTGGCTCGGTATCTTAGATAATTTAGAACAGACCCTAGCAGAAACGGAACCAGGATTTCAAGCTTATGAGTTCGAGATTCAAATCATTTTAAGTTACTGGGTTCTAAATTAATAATTTATACATATTCAATAATTTTTTTTTAGAAAAATACAGAGTTCGAACCAAGCTATTGAATTCGACTGAACTCGCTCTTTACACTCTAGCTCCGTCCCTAGACCCTAGTCTCTGAGATGTAGTTTTCAACTGACAAAAGTCTACTCGGAGTTTCCAGGGAAAATGCATATGTTTTTACGTCGTGTACTATTCTTTGAATTTTCTTTACATGATAAACGTTATTTTCATCTATTGTCATGATCAGTACATTTTATTTTGTTTTACCAAATGATATACCCTCCATTTGAACTTGAAAATCTTTGTTCCCTGTTTCTAATACGTGCAAATTAATGTTTAGATTCATGAAATGGAAATTGATTGATTCAAAAGATGTTGAAACCTTTTTGAACAAATCAATCAATGATGAAGGAGTAAATCTTAGTCAGACATAATAACTTTCAGATCAAAGAGCCAGCAGTGTGGATCATACTTAGGATGAAGGAAATATGAATGATCTTATTGATGTTTGACATTGTATCTCCCATCAATTGATGAGGAGACCGTTTTACATGTTTTCCTAGAGGTTCACTCTCTTCCAAGAAAACTCGAAGAGAGATTTTCAGCTTTTTAAGGAGATAGGAGAAGTGTTTTCTTGTTGAAAGCTTTCCCTGACTATATATAGTCATGGCACCCTTGCCTTTTGCTCGGCTCGTCGTCCTCTTGCCCCCAATGTGTCTTAGTCGTGCTTTTAGACGCCATTCTTACCGACTCGTCGGATGTCAGGGAGGAGATATAGAGTGGGCTATATTAACTTTCCCTGTCCGGTTACTTAGGCGGGACGTCGTCAACTTGATCGCGACGGTCAGATTTTAACCAATACAGTTAGTCCCTCTGTCTGTCAGGGTCATCCTCTGTCGGGCTCCGCAGACGGATCATGAATGTTACGAATTCGAGAGAAATCTGACTAACGACTCTTCGTTCCTTAGTTATATTTTATGGGTTTTTGGCGGAGTGGCGACGTTCTATCGATTCCCATGGATCGTTGCGACAATTTTAGAACCGAAACGTCGTTTGGTATCGAAGCGTTGTTTTGTGGTTATTGCCATTATTACACACGTTCCTGGGGAACTGAAACGTTTTATGCCTGGTCAGATTCGATTGGCGACTTTTGGGTTTCGTGCTCGGGGGATTTATGTCTCTTATAAATAGAAGGAGTTGGTCATTCGATTGACACACTTCTTTATCTTTCACTTGGGAAAATCCCGCAGATATATTTTCTTTCTGATACCTCGAATTTCTGCGTGCCCCATTGTTCACTGAAAACCTTCATCTCTTCTTTCTATTATTTCTTTGGCGTGTTTTCTGATAAAAATGGATGGTGATTCTTCTCGCGACAGTCTCCCTGCCACTAATCCGGTACTGGAAAGTGATGCTCAGGCCACCAGAGGATCAAACACGGTGGAAGATAAGGAGGTCCCATTAATGATTGAGATCCTGCCTCGCCCTGGGAGAGAGCCGACTGACTTCAGTACTCCCGCCGGCGTCGAACCGAAACCTGTTCACTCTATTATGAGAGAAAGGGACATTGCAGAGCTGAAAGAAAGGTGGGGAATCCCCAATTATGTTGATATGTGGCTGGCAGTGGGGAAGACATAGTTCATTTCGACCGTCTCGGGTACTGCATGTTCTACGCCTACCCCTTCATTGTAGGGTACACACTTCATCTTCCTTTGTTGGTGGTGGATTTTTGCCGTTTTTACGAGGTATGCCCTGCCCAACTTTCGTCGTAGTATACAAGTTACTCCTTATGCTGCTTAAGTATGCGGAACTCGTCGGTCGTGAGGTCACTTTGGACCATATTGATGTTCTAATCGTCAATACCACACAAGAAGGGGGGTGATTTGTGTGGTACCCAATTTTCGCTCTAGAAGAACCTCTTCTAGGTGTTCTAACTACTACTGTTTGCGGAATAATAAGTACATAAAATAAAGAACACAGAGATTTTTACGTGAAAAATACCTGGCTCAAAAGGTAAAAAAAACTACGACCTACTACTCAGTAGGATTTTCCCAAACTTCCACTAAAATCACTGAGTCGAAACAGCATTTACAAGACTCTTTATAAACCTAAGGATTAACTCTAATCCCGTTGTGGCACACAGCCTCAACTGTTGCGACAATTTCAAGTTAGCTATAACTTGAACACTCTAAGTACCTAATACAATTACTCCTATGAAAGCTGAAAGGTACAACTTTAAACCACCTACTACAATTAAACTAGAATAAAAGAAAGACACAATGGAACTGGTTCTTCTATCTCGTTCAAGTAGCTTCAGGAGTGCACACTCAAATCTCACATAAATTGCTTGCAAAATCGCCTTGCTCTTTTGCTCTCAATTTAGTTTAACTTCTGTGTTTGTGCAATACCTGTAAAAGAGAACAATCACTGTCATTTAATAGGTTAGTAATCAGAGTTTGATTGGGACTCAATTGCTGATCTTTGTGAGCACGTGATTTTTGCCTCATACGAATTACTCCAAAATAACTCCCAAAATTAGGTCTTTTCTTTAATTATGTGAAAATATTGTACGGTTTTCCTGTTTGTTTGCATGGGCATACGTGCGTGTGTAATTTTATTAATGCATTTAAAAATATAAAAAAATAATATAATGTAATATGTGTTACATGTGCATTTAGGATTTAGTTTTTCAATTTAGGAATTAACAAGTTTGTTTTACAAAAAGGAAAATCACAAAAAATACGTAATTGTTGTAATTTTGTCATTTAAATGTGTCATGGTGTGATTAATGTTTTGTCTTGTGTGTTAATGGTTGTTAAGGGGTACTTAATATTTTTGTAAGGATAATTTTGATTTTTATAAAATTAGGAATTTAGTAATTAGGAATTAAAGGAAAATGAAAAAAAGGGAAGTAAATAGGAAGAAAAACTGGACTGGGCCATTTTTAATTGACAAAAATCAGGCCCAATGTGTGTAATAACCCAGTCCAGGACCAAGTCTCTCAACCGTCTCCCAAATAACGTCGTTTGAATGCTTTCAATCTGGACCATTGATCAGTCAGATCTAACGGTCCAGTTCAATTCTTTCATTAATCCAAACTTCGCCGTATGATTACAATCAATTAGGGTCGTCTTTTCCCTTTAATCCAACGGTCCCGATCAGTCCTCTATACCCGATCCACCTGCATCTGAGACCGGACCAATCCCCATTAAAACCAAAACGGCACCGTTTGGTTAAATGAATTGATCCCGACCGTAGATCTTACCTGATCCAACGGACGATATCAGACTACCCCTCCCCTATATAAGTTAAATTCGTACCCCAACCCCCT